AACGGCGCCATATTGCTTTTTTGGGAAACTTCTGAGAGTAGGGGAGGGAGCATGACAGGGAGGGGGAATTTTTTTCCTCACGTCAGCGTTAACACAGGAGAAAATAGTTTGCGATTGTGAATGAATTTGCGCGTTAAAGAATGTTGGTTAATACCGGTGTTTATTGTAATATTAGAAATGTAAGTGCTTATGTGTGTGTACTCAGAGAACCAACTCGTAGTAAAAACCACCTCCCTAAGACGACCGCCTCTCAAAGAAACCACTATTTCTGAAAGCATAAGTATATTTTGGTTTTGGCCTCTGTTAGGCGACCTTCACAAAAAATTCTGCAACTGTGACTGGTAACCTTAGAGAGATTCATTTCGTAGATTCAACATCCCTAAGACGACCACCTCCTAAAGATAAACTTATTTCTGAGAACGTGAGTATATATTAATATTGAGCATCACCTCTCTAAGGCGACCACTTGCAAAGATGAATTTTTATTTGCGGCTGGTCGCCTTAGAGAGACCTCGTTGTGTGTGGTGTATATGATTACTGTTATTGTTTCCAAAAAAAATTTTTTTAAATCAAATAAATAAGCATATTTAGTAAAAACCCTCTCTTAAACGACCAGCGTTTCCAGGTTACTCTGATGGTCTTAAAGAGATCATATTTGCATTCTATTAATTTTATTGTTTACAAGAAGTCTATTAACGTCAGATAAAAAAATAGCATAAACCCATATAAACCAACAGAAGATTTATTATTATATTGATACCAGTTAGGAAAACAGTAAAAGTCAATATAAACCAATACAAACCAGTAAAAAGTTCTGACATTGATGTTGGTTGTATGGGTGTCAATTGATACCAGTAAGAAAAACCCACAGAGATCAATAGAAACCAGTAAAAGTCGATAGAGACCATCAAAAATTCTATAGGTACCAGTAGAAAGTTTTACTGGTTTCTATGGGTCATTTTGAAACAGCAGATGAAGTAGGTTTTTATTAGCAGGGGTAGAATGCGTGGTGTTATTCTGTGATGGTATATATCGTCTTTTGAAACCGACTCTTAAATTTTATGAAGGCATAATTAGTCTATAAACATATATTTATATTTTTAAACTAAGTTTGAAATCAATGGCATAAATATACGAGTATGGATTATAAATTACATTTTGTTTAGAATTTCATTTTCTTTATTATTAAAAGAATCAGAATCTCAAAAAACCCAAATAACGCCTTTCCTAACGCAGTTTCTAAAGCCATTAAGATTTTTTTTATGCTGGAGAAGTGGAAAATGAGCAGTTCCCTCGCCGAGACTCGAACCACGGACCTTTGGAATACGCGCCGAGTTTGCTAACCGCTACACCACGAACACATACTGGAAGGAGGGAGAAAATACCTTCTATACGCCTCTTTTTAAAGGAAGACTTTGGATTAAGAGACACAATTGCCAAATCCTGGTGGTGAAAAATCATCATCCACCAAATTTTAGTTCGGGCGTCACTGTAAAGTAATTAGATTTTAGATTAACTTTTAGATTAGATTCACTCCAGAGAAATTAGAAGCAGGAGACATAAAAAATGAGCACTCTCCTCGCCGGTACTCAAATCTGGACCTCTCGAATACCAAACGACTGTGCTGACCGTTACACCACGAAGGCATGCTGAAAGGGAGGAGAAAATAACCTTATAACTTTATTTTCATTCATATTGCAAAAAAGTGTAAATTTTATTGTTTATTCTTTAAAAATTCCACATATCTTTTTGAAATTCACATAATTCCTTGTTTAACTATCTACAATTAAAATTACATAATAATGACTAGTCTAGTTTTCTTGTGTCCCCAAATTTAACATCGATTCCATCAAATTGCTAGCATAAAATCACATAAAATATATTTCAGTGAAGTTATTTTCTGGGCTGCCTACGGATAATAATGACCACAATTAATCACGAAAACGGTGCTTGCCATGAAAGGAATCGTATGGTAACAGGAATAAAGCGAGCACCGAAATTCAATACTACAGAATACTTTTTCTCCTTTTAAACTTTACAAACCGTTTTAAATTAATGTTCGCATACTCCAAAACATTGAACAATTTTCATTATTTAAAGCATAGTCTCAAATGTCTGACTAAAATCAATTTTCAACTTCAAATAGAGAGATTATATTCACTATTTCAGATGAAAAGATGCAGACTTTCTTTTATTAAACTTTTCTCAACGAATGATTACTTTTTTAAGATTCTGAGTAAAATATAAATAAAATAAAATAAAATTTGCTCAGTAAAGGAAAGCAATTTTATTATTTTGCGTAAAAATGTGTGCGATGACGATATTTATCTATGATGTTTTATAAATCACACATAAGGTTTCATTTTACTTTGGTTCTAATCTAAAAAAATATCTGTTGCGATATTTTAAAATTATTACTTAATTTAAGAATGAAAATATAACATTAATTTTTAGATCAGCATTTCTAAGTCATGGAGTTCTACAAGAAATATCGCGAAGAACTCTATAAGAAGGAATGATGAATCAGAAATACATTTTTGCGTCGTTTTCTTTATTTAATTGCATAACCGCAATTTAATAATTTGCAGTAATTTATACTTAGTCTACATTTACTAAACTGCATAATTTATATAGCTTTGCATTATGCCACTTAAATATCTTAGTAACCTATAATTTAGGTTAAAATAACACGCCGAAAACGGATTATTGGAGAAGTCAAACAACAAGAATCAGCGTTACATTTGTAAATTTTGCAGGACTAGTTTCGATGGTACCTATAGAAACATTTGCCTCAGCTGCAAAAGTGCAAAAATCGTCATCAGGTATTTTTGCACTTAGGCAGCTGAGGAGAGGGTTATATAGTTAAATTATCGAAACTAGTCCTGAAACATTTGCAAGTGTAACGCTGATTCTTGTTGTTTGACTTTTCTACTAACCATAGTAAATTTTTTTAGGTTATTTCATAATTGGCTATATTCATTCCATGTTTTTTGTATCACATAAGTTACTAATTATACTTTACATATGTTTAGTTTTAGGGCGAATTGAAACCTCCTCACGAAATTTCTTATTTAGGTAGTTTGATGCAGCACACCTTCTTTAAAACTCTCTTGAGAAAGAAGTATCATTTTGCCATTTAAAAAATTTTACTTATATTTTTATTTGCTTCTAAAAACGAATCTTCTTATAAACAGCTAGTGTACGTGATTATGAGACAAATATTGCATCTTTCATTTGCTCAAAATGACATTCTCTAATTCAATACATTTCGCCGTGTTCTATTACTTCACTGTTGCTGTTAAGGAATATAATTTTTAGCCGAAATTGAAAACAAACTGTATAACATATTATCACCTCGACCGTAAAACTCTCACAAAACAGTGCGATTTACTGCCAGTTCGGGATACGCATGGCGTAGCAACACATTCATGACATCTGCGCTTTCGTTTGATGTAACCCGGATTGATTTTTGATAAGCCACATTTTTTTTTTCATGAACAAGGATTTAGTTGTTACTGTTGCATCTTTTCCCTGCACTCTGCAAATATATATATGTAATATTTTTAATGCGTAGTCGTGATAGCAGAGCGGCAAAACGAGACGAAGTTGATACCAAGCAAAGTTCAGCTAATTACCATCTTTATTTCCAAGTAAATTAGAGTAATTCTTTGTACACAATATATTTTTGATCATAAATAATTACAATAATTTCTTATATACACAGATTATCGTGCATGCAGAAAGTATTCTAAGCTACGACTGGTTAATTTTAGGTTGTTTTATAATCATGGAAGGACATATAATTTCGGAGAATAGATGAATTTACGCGGAGAGAACCAAATCTAAAATCGCAATTTTGAGGTCGCCAATTATTTTTAAAGCATCTATCGTATTTTGTCATATCTTACATATACACATATACAGTAGACGTTCGTTTTTACGAACCTCTATTTTACGAACACTCTCGATTTGACGAACTAGCGAATGGTCCCGAATACACTCCCATAGATGTAATGTAATTTTGCGCTCTTATTTACGAACTACAAATTAGGAAAATCTCTTTTTTGCGAACTCAGTTTTCATACTTCTGCGTGTTTCATTGGGACGAAGTGTGAAGGTCAAATAAAATCTCCAACTATTTTGAGGCAGCAAGTGCGAAACATTCGAAGAAGTACAATAAGGAAGGAGGGGCGGAGAAGAGGGGGAATTAGGACAAATTTATGGTGTTGTTTGTTGTGGGAGGCTCTCAGAAGAGCATCAGCCTGATGTTGTTGGGTGGGGGTGAGACCATTCGTGTTAAAGGGGTTTGGGTTGCTTCTAAAAGAGAGTTGTTGCTTTTTGTAATGTCATAGTCATTTGATCTGGACAACTCAATCAGTGAAGTCCCTTAGTCGACAGGGAGATTGGGCCAGTTTTTGTTAAGTAAGATTCTTAGAGCTATGTCGCAAATGAAGAAACGAATTTGTTTAGCGGTTGAAATAGAAGATTTTAAAAGAAATTGACGAAAAAATATTAAGCAAGACACAAATTGCTCAGAAATATGGAATTCCTAAAAATAGTTTATCGACGATTTTAAAGGCAAGAGAGAAGATCTTTGGAGCTAAAAACGGAAACAATGAATGTGGACCCTCCTCTCGAAAATATTTTCCAGAATCAAAACACCCAAATTTGGAAAGGGCTTTGCTTGTTTGGTTTCGAAAGATGAGAAGCTTAAACATTCCAATTAATGGAAATGTACTTAAAGAACAAGCACACTTTTTTGCTTCCAAATTAAACATCAAAGATTTTAAAGCATCGGATGGTTGGTTACAGAAGTTTAAATTTCGGAATGGTTTGAGTTTCCGGAAAGTGTGTGGTGAAAGTGCAGCAGTAGACACGTCATCAGCAAATGAATGGAAAGAAGGAAAGTTGAAATTGTTTCTTCTTTCTGAATACGCTGCAGATGACGTTTTTTATTTTTTTAATGCGGACGAAACGGCTTTGTTTTTTATTTTTTTAAGATTTTGCCAGAAAGAACATTAGCTTACAAAGGAGATAAATGTGTTGGAGGTAATAAAGCTAAAGAGAGGCTTGCAGTTTTGATTGCAGCCAACATGACTGGGTCACAAAAATTGCATCTGCTCTTTATTGGAAAATATCTGAAACCAAGGTGTTTCAAAAATGTTCAGAAGATTCCTGCTGCATCTTATGCTAATAATAAGGCCTGGATGACTGGCAACATCTACGAAAAATGGTTGAGAGATTTAGATAACCGTTTTTCAGCAGAGAAGCGCAAAGTTCTCCTAATCGTGGACAATTGTACTGCACACATGGAAGTCACTGGGCTTCAGGCAATCCGTGTGGAATATCTCCCACCAAATGCAACTGCAGTTTTACAGCCAATGGATCAGGGGATAATCAATAGTTTCAAGCGAAAATATATGACAGTGCTCTTGCAAAGAGTAATCCTTGGCTTGGAAAGGGAACAACCTTATCAGATTGATATTCTTGGTGCAATGCATTTATCAATCAGTGCATGGAATGATGTTTTAGATGAAACAATTTCTAAAGCCTTTCGACATGCAGGTTTTATTAAACAAACAGACGTAACTGAAGAAATCCATGACAATAGATCTCACGACGAAGATGAGGTTCTCATGCATGAACTTCGCCGTAGATATCCACAGTTGCCAGAACTTTCATTCGAGGATTTTTTAAATGTGGATTCTAATGTCATCTGCACGGAGGAAATATCGGATCACGATATTATTAGCAGCATAATCAACGAGAATGAGAGACTTTCAGATCCAGAAGAAGAAAAAGAAAATGAAGTAAAACAGTAACACCAGACCGACGACTTTAAAAACAAGCTGCTGAATACTTGTCAGAACTTAGACGATTTTTTTGAGGCCAGTGATATTTGTGAAATGCTAACAAATATAGAGAAGATGGAGTCTTGCATTGTCCAATCTGTTGTTTTAAAACAGACAAAGATAAGTGATTATTTTGTTGCTCAATGACTTAATAAAGGTACGTTTTACAAATATTTTATATTTCTTGTTTCTTTAATAGAATGGATATCATTTATTAAGTAGTAATACTATTAAAAATAATTCCTAATACATAAATAAAAGCATGGAATAGTATCACTAACCTGTCTCGAAAACATTAAAATGTGAAATACTAACAATTTCCGATGCCTTTCTAAATTACGAACTCTCGATTTAACGAACTGTTTTCGTAGTCCCTACGAGTTCGTAAAAACGAGCGGCTACTGTAATATATGTTAAATATATTGTTGCGTTTTTCTTTCTTTTCTGACACCAGTTGTTACGTTATTTTCTTCCTTCACGTTCGTACGGGTTTCGTAGATTTGGAGTGAATAACGACCACACTGGATGAAGTATCGAAACACACTTTAATTGCCAGTATTTAATTAGGACAGCTCCAAAACACGTTTTACAGTCGTCGATGAACTATTATAAACACGCTGAAATGATTAGCGACACAGCCTTCAGGTTATCAGGCTATCACGGTGGAGACAGCTTAACTGCAAACCACCAGAGTACAGCTCCCGACTCTGCTCGGCCGTTCTGGGAACTCCACGTACTCTCGACGCTCTCCACGCTACAACTCGCGATGCACTCGATGACACACAGAGCACGGCTCCCGACTCTTCGGTTCAGTCGTTTCCCGGAGCTCAACACGCTCTCTCGACGATGCACTAACCACGATACACTAAGAAACTCCTTCGGTGAACTCGACAACCCACTCGGCACTCGCTGCCCGGCTGTCAACTCGATCGACTCCGCAGGGATTGACTCGTTAGACGAGACACCAACTCGATACTAACTTTCTCGCACTCTAGACGAGGCATTTACACTAACTGACCAGAAGGACCCTGCGGACCAGCAGGGTTTATATAGCTTTCGGCTTGTGTTCGAGAACATTCTGGGCTAAACCGGTAAGAATTCGTTCCAGAAGGTTCTCTATCCGTCCATGACATATCGCCAAATAAGCGATTTCTTGCCAAAGGTGGCAACCCTGCCTACCCCTTTCCAAATGTGGCATAACTTCTACGGAACATATATACAAGTGGTGATCAAATGAAAAAGGTACGAAACGACGTAAAAACGTAACAGTTAAATATTTGCATATTATGCCATGGGAGAACGTAGCGAGACATCTTGGGATGCGATTGGAATCTCTGACTGGGATCGAAGCATGCGCGGGCACCTGCATGCGCAGGAGAAAGCAGAGCTCTTGTCAAAAGCGGCGTGCAAATGATGCGGCAGTCCGTATGAGGACAGGATGGCGTTCGCGTTGCAAAATTCGACGACTGAGGAGCAGCGAGATGTTATCCGATTTCTGACAGCGGAAGGTTCAGGTTCAGGTGGAAATGTAGTGGGACACCCAATGTTTACTATAAGTAATGTAGGTATAGTCCCACTACACTTCGGTTTATTTTTAAAGTAATATTCAAAATAGTACATAGTATAATAAAACACATAGTATAATATAACATAATATAACAGTATAAATAGTATGTCGATATTTTGATTGATATATCTATTAGATATAATTATAGTAGTTATAATAGGCTATAATAATAGTAGGCTAACAGTCATAATTTATAACAGTTCTTAATAGTTCCTTGAGATAAAGTTTATTATATGAATCTGTATCTTCTTCCTCTTCCTCTTTTTTCCCTTTTTTACTATATCATTATTATTGCAAGGGTTTGTTTTTAAGATAATTAGATAATAAAAGTTTTAGATGAATTGCAGCTTCAAAAATGAATTTTGACATTAATTACATTAGTGCTCACATAAAGTTTTGCCTATTGAAGATAGATATTTGATTGTATTTTCTATTTTACTTTTTAAATGTTTGTTGGTAATTGCAAAACGAAGGAAGGCATTGATATTTGAATTAGGCAATTTAATATGAGTTGACTTTGTTAAGGGACATTGAGTAATATAATGGATTGGATCACCTTTATTTCCACATACACATTGCTCAGAGTTAGAGATGTTGAATCTGAAGAAGTATGTGGGAAATGGCCCATGTCCAGTTAAAAAGCGGTTTATATAACCATTGACCATTGTACATGTATCATTTACATGAGGTGCTATTTGATTTAATTGTCTTCCTGTATTTATTGTTGTCCATTCTTTTTCCCACATTTGGAGGCTGATTTTATGTAGATATTTCTTGAGGTATGATTTCGGCCAGGAGATTTTTCTTGAAGGGATATTATTGTTGGTAGTAGCTGATTTGGCTGCTGAATCGGCTTCTTCGTTACCAAGAACTCCGACGTGAGCCTTTATCCAATAAATGTTATAAAACAACATCAACATCAAATAATATTTTGGTGATATTTGAGGATATTGGATAATTTTGTTAAAAATATCTTGAATTATTTCAGATGCGTGTTTGAGATTTTGTAGAGCTAGTATTGCTGATTGACTATCCGAGAAAATATTGATCTTTTGTAAATTGTTATCGATAGAGTATTCTATTGCCATTCGAATTGCGTGTAATTCTGCTTGGAAGATACTATTTTCCTTGGAGAGACGATTTTGGAGAGTTATTTATTTTCTGGGTTTGATCAATTTGTATTATACATGCACAGCCAAGCCAACTCCTAAGTCCATTTTCGATCCATCTGTATATATTATTGGTGGAGATATATGATTGGTTGGAGGTTTTACTGTGCTATATATTTTAGGATTAGAGGCAGGATGTCTTCTGTAGGGATTGACTGAAATTTCAAAATTGTTTGGATTAAATATTTCATCATGTAATATGCAGGATTTTTTTTTTTAATTTGAGAACTGTGGCTTTTGCATGTTCAGTTTGTGCTAAAGTATGAAGAGAGGTGCTATTCCTGAAAGTACACATAGGGCAGCATTTGATGTTGTTTTATAACATTTTGTGATCCGGAGAAGGAATTGGACGTTGTATGGCTTGCAGTTGTTTTTGTTTCCGAACAGTCATAGGCTGCGCCCAAATTTCTGCACCATATAAGACTATTTTTGTTATTACTGTATTGAACAATATTTTTTGAATATGAGGATTTAGTCCCCAATTTAGTCCTTGGACATAACGTAAGTTGTTTGCTATTTTTTGTGTTTTAGTTCTGATATATTTGAGATGTTCAATCCAGTTGAGGTTTTTGTCAATGATTATGCCTAGAAATTTAAGTTTTGGAACTATTTTTATTCTATTATTTTTTCTATTGAAAATTTTGGTAGTCGAGTGATTTTTTGAGATTTTTTATGGAAAATTATAGCTTTTGATTTTTTTTCTTTTTTCTTCACTTATTGTCAGTTTCAATTTGTTGCATTCAGTTTTAAAAAGATGAAGAGTTTCATTTACATTATTTTCCAGAATATTTCTTGTTCTACCACTGATCACAAAAGCTGCGTCGTCAGCAAAAGCAAAAGCAACACTTTGTGTATGGGTTGGCCATTTGAAAGATGTTATTGAGTTAAACGTAAGGTTCCAAAGGTCAGCACTAAGGCAGGAACCTTGTGGACAACCTCTTTGTTGGGCATATTCTATTATCTTATTATTGTTGTATATTATAAAACTTTTTTTTTTCACATAGATAATCTTGAAGTAAGTTAAATATATTTTTTGGACAATTTGCTTTTCTTAATGCTTCAAGTACAGATGGCCACCATAATGAGTCAAAAGCTTTGGTTAGATCCAGGCAAATAAAAGCAGAATGCAGATTATTGGAGTTATTGATATGAATTTGGTTTAAAGCTGAATCTATGGCATTCGTTGTCGATTTATTCGGGATGAATCCAAATTGATTATTGCTGATAAATTCTATTTTTGTTAGATGATGTCGTAGGCGATTTGCTATTATTCTTTCTAAGACTTTTCCTATTGCCGGTAATAAGTTGATTGGTCTGTATGACTTTAGAGTATTTGCATCTGCGCTTGGTTTGCTAAAAAACAAATGACTTGACCAGTTTTGAAATGAGTAGGAAATGTGCTTAATTGTAGGCACTTATTACTGAGATCTAAGAAAATAGTTCGATCAATAGAATGAATAAGTTGGACTATTTGGTTAGGTATTCCATCTGGTCCTGGTGCCTTATTTCTTGCTAAATTTTTTATTTTATATTAGAGATTTCCTTTAATGTAAATGGAAAGTCATCCATTGTATCTGGAGCTGTATATTATTATTTCTGATGTACGATTGTTCAGGAGTATCTTCTTGAGAGGAGTCTTGTAGAAAAACTTGTTCCATGATATTAGAAAGAGTTATTAAAGTTGTATCTTGATCTTGATCTTGATGTTGAGATTGATTGAGGTTTGAAGTAATGGAGATTTGGGTTGGTTTAAAAACTTTGTTCATACAGATCTTGTAAATATTTCCATATCTTTCTGTGTTTTTGGTACAATAATCTCTCCAGCATTTATTTTTAGCTGATAGTATCATTTTTTTATACATTGCTTTTTTGTTGTGAGTATATAATGTAAAATTTATCTTTCAGTTCTTGAAGGGAGGCTTTTTTTTTCATTTTCCTATAGAATGCTCTTGTTTTGTTTCTCTGTATCCTTAATTCTTTAGTCCCACCAGTTTAAGTTAAGTTTATTATTTGGTTCTTGGGTTATAAATGATTGTTTGCAGCAGTGCTGTATGAATATTGTAAGGTTTTCCATTGATTTATTGAGTGTGATTTTATCAGATGAATTATTGATTTCCCGATGGATCTTGAAGAGATCTTGTTTCATGAGCTGAATAAAAGTTTTAATAGATCTTGGATTAATTTTAAACCGATGAGCTAAGGTTATTTCAAAATTAAGATCTATTCTGAATGAG